AAAACGCCACCGCACTTATAAGCTGCCCCAAACGGGCCCTTAGTCGCAGCTTCCGTTAGACCAAATAAAAAACAAATCGACATTCAGAGAACCGAAGGCCAAATAATTCTCCCAAAAAACCAAAATATATATTAAGAAAAAGATCCACAAAGAGTTCTCTTCCCACCATTCGTAGACGATGCAGAGCACGACAGCTTCTTCCCCAAAGCCGCCATTCTCAGATCCAGAGCAGAACTTGCAGTGCCCTCGTTGCGAATCAACGAACACCAAATTCTGCTATTTCAATAACTACAATCTCTCCCAACCTCGTCACTTCTGCAAAGACTGCCGCCGCTACTGGACTCGAGGCGGCGCTCTCCGCAACGTCCCCATCGGCGGCGGCACTCGCCGGAACTCCAAAAGATCTTCCGCCTCCACCGCTACAGCCGGCGTTGCTAATACCAAGCGTCCCTCGCAGTCTTCCACCTCCGGCGAAGCTCAAAGGCCGGACCTTTTTCATGTTCCCTTTCTACCAGTGGATGATGAAGACCACCGAATGCTTGATATGACTGGAAGTTTCAGCTCGCTTCTGTCTTCCGCTAATGATTTCGGTAACTTTCTCGACGGCGAGGAAGCAACGCCGGCGGATTCGAGTAGCTGGTGCGGGGGTTGCCCAGATCTTACCATTTATACGCCGGATACGAGGTTTGGGTGAGGGAAGGAAGTGCGGTGTGTAATCTCTGGTTTGGGCTCAAATTACAGTTTGTTGATCTCTCGTTTTGGTGATGAATTTGGGGTCTGTTGGTATGGTGTTTTGGATTATGGGATTTTGATTTGGTCATTTATGTTTTATTTTAGTTTTCTTTTCAAAATCTGATCTTTAACAGTTTGTGAACGTGTGGGTCTTGCCTTCTTGCTTGATTTCTCTGCTTGTTCATATTGAAGGTTTATTTTTTCTTCTTATGTGAAGATTTCTCTTTAGCAATCTTTGAGAAGTGTTAGGGCTTACAATTCGTTTTCTTACCTTTGTTTCATTTTTTTAGTATGAGGAAAGGGTTTCTCTAATATTGTATGATTAATTTGTTTGCATCATATTGAAGGTTTTTTTTTTTTTTTTTTTTTTTTTTTTTTTTCAAATTTTTTTACAAATTTAATTAAATGTGGTACTATAAACATGCTTATTTTCATAATGAACGTTGGATTTTAGAATATGAAGTTACCATGTTGATTGGTTTGTTGGGCTTAAGACTACTGAAAGATAGATCAAGGGAATGTTTGATGATTATATTTGGAAGTATTTTATGAAGATTTTGTTTATAATACATGCAAAAGATTACAGATTTTTTCAACCATATTTGTACAAAAATTTATATAGTTTTAAGAGCATTGTTAGAAGTTAAAACTATATGCATTGTATTCTTATGCGTATTTTGTTTACTGTTTTGTCCAAAAATAATATTGAGGGTTTTCATTGTGAAGTATAAGTAATTAGTTAATGAAATAATTTAATAAAATGGTAAAAAAATGTATGAGGTGATACTAAAAGATGTTTAAAATTGGGAAGTAAATGTTCAACAGTAGCGGACGTTTAAATTGTTTAAGAAAAAAAAAATGTTCTTTATTTATTTTAATTTTTATTATTGAATATTTTTAAGTTTATTTATTATTTATATATTCATTTTTTTTTTTCTATTTAGGAGCATAAATGCCCTCATCGGAAGTGTTCTATATGAATTGTCTACGTTTGATATGAACTGCCGACATAGGAGGCGTTTCATAAAAATTGTTTCAATAAAAGGTATATTTTTGTCTTTCCCGTATACGTACACGCTTACGGTTTTTTCAAAAATCTTTTTTATCCATTGCATGAAACGGCTGGGATCCACATAATTTCTCATCTCCTCGTGTTGTTTTAACTTCCATCACCTTCAAAATTCCTTACGTCCGGCCCTTAATTTTTCGATGAAGCTGCCTCTTCTCTTCCATTCATCCACTAGTTACTCCCTTCTCTGCTTCATCCCTTCCATTACTTCTGCGGTTTAAATAATTATATAGAGAATCCGGACAGGAACTGTGTCCAGACTCCAATGAATAAAATCTTGTCACGTGTATCTGACTAAGCACACCTAAAAAATGACAAAAAGACACCAATAACACCCCCAATAACACCGCGGTGTTATTTACGTGGTCCTCGGGGAGTTGTTATTGGCGCTATTCACGAGTGTTATTACGGTATTATTATGATTTTATTGAAGTAGTTTTTCAGGGGGTTATTGCGGTGTTATCACAATGTTATTTGCATGGTCTTCCGGGTGGTGTTATGGGCGTTGATTAATGATGTTATTGCGATGTTATTAATGCATTATTCGAGTTGTTTTGATAGAATTTTGAAGCGAAACCACTGTACCGGTGGTATTGTGGTGTTGTTTGAGTTGTTTTATAATAAAATCATAAAAAGTGCATAGCTGTCATTTTTTTAGGTGAGCCCAATCAGATACACGTGGCAAAATTTTGTTGGAGTCCTCTGTATGTATTATTTTATCCTCTTTTTCATCCACTCGTTCTTCCCTTTTTTCCTTCATCCCTTCCATTACTTCTAGGGTTTAAATTAATTAAAGCATATGACTTCAATTATTCTTTTTTTCCCCCACCACACATATTATATTTAGTTTCTGTCATGGTATGACTCATATATCATATCGGGACAGACGCTGGATCGAAGCGGAATAGAGCAGAGCGGAAGAATCTGTCCAAATTGGGAAGTTACGTGGGTTGGGGTGCGGGGGCAAAACCCCGCGGTATGGTATAAGGGTAATATTGTAATTACATGTTGTGCCTAGGTTTACTCCTGGGGTTATAAATAGGTCTGTTAGTAACCCCAGGAGGTCATGAGGTATCCCTGAATTCTATAAACTCTTTTCTGAATATTGAAAGGAACTCGCCGCTCTGCTCCCGAGGACGTAAGCATCTTTGGCGAACCTCGTTAAATCTCTGTGTTCTTCTGGATTTGTGTCGTTCTAGTTTTTCTTCGCCCTAATTTTCTCAACAAGTGGTATCAGAGACTGGTTCGAGGGCAGGGAAGTAAATTTTCATCGGCCCAAGAAGAAGTTTGGGCGGCATATTTTGCACGACGCAGGCGCAGGTTCCAGATCTTCGCACGAAGGACAACTCGGTCGCAGAGGTTTCGTGCGAAGGGCTTTGGATCGGGTGCAGGAGAACGAAGTTCAGGCGTTTTGCAGGAGGATCACGCGGTGTTCGGAAGGTTGTTCGGGCGATCGCGCTGCCAAAGGAAGCGGCTCGGGAGAAGGAATCGCGGGAGCAAGCGGAGCCAAAGGCGATCGCGGAAATTTCGGCTTCGGCGGAGAAGGCGCTGCTCGGCGTCGCTGGCCAGAGAAGGAAGGTTCTGCGCCCGCTGGAAAAGGAAGGTGGAGGCGCTGTTTGAATAAAAAAAAAATCGGGAAGCTGTCCCTGTGGAAATGAAGAAGGAAAGGAGCGGAGTCTTCGTGAGAAGGGCAGAAAATAGAATCAAAGAATCTTTGATAGAGGAATATTCTGAAATATTCCCTTCCATCTTTGGCTCCAGTGAAGGCTGCTTGATTTATTTCTTCCCCTGAAGGCTGCGAAAGGGAAGTTGAAGGCTGCTGCACTTGATTCCTTAATTAAAAGTAAAATCATTTTAATTAAGGGAAATATATTTTTTTTTTCAGAAAAAAAAAGTTATTTTTTCTTTCCTACCTCTTTAAAAAAAGAAAAAAAAAATAAAGGTCTGGGTAAGGATTTTGTCAGAGGAATTTTTTTTTGCAAAAAAAAGTTTTGTTGCAGGATCAATTTTCAGATGGTTTTTTCTGGTGCAAAATTCGAGGTGGTGAAGTTCGACGGAACTGGTAACTTCGGATTGTGGCAAACCAGGTTGAAAGATCTGTTGGCACAACAGGGAATCTTGAAAGCTCTGCGGGCAACAAAACCAGATG